AGGGAGAGATTGATAGAGAGTGAATAGAATGTAGTTTACTGGTAGCTGATGAGGACCACCACCAGGAGACAGGATATAAAAGGTACGTCTTCAAAGTTACCTTTTCCAAAATTTGCTTTGGAGCAAATATCCTATTAGCAAAGCCTTAATAATTTAGCTCTCATTGAATTCCCAAATATACTCAAACTGTCAAAACTAACATTTAGGATTATCTTTGTCCAATGATTATTCTGTTGGACAAATTAGAAACTAGAGATAAGCAAAAGAAAGAAAAACCAGATGTAATTCCATCGTCTAGAAGTTTCCATAGTTGACACTGTGTCTCTCTTGCTCAATCGATCTATTTTTTGTGTGGAGGGTAAGGGTTAGAAATTTGTTTTAAAAAATTAAATGTGTATAATATAAGAAGTAAAAAGAAGAAAGAAAAACCTATTACCTAAACTCATCAGCATGAGATGGTCACCAAACTATTAACTGTAGTTTATATCATAAGCAAATCTTATGGGGATTATATAGATTATATATGCAACTTTGTATCTAAGCAAATTGAGTCATTTTCCTATAAGAGCCTACATTTTATTTTATGACTTGTTTTTCTCTCTGAATTCTAAGTCTTTAACCACTGTGGTACAAAATACCAGTTTGTTCTTATTTTCAGTGACCACCTAATATTTCATTTTATGTAGCATTCTTTATTTAAACACTCCTCTATAGAGGATATTGGGCTAGTTCTGATTTTTCACACCTCTTTATAACCGCCTTAGGATAACTTTCTAGAGGGCATACACAGGTCAGAAGGTAAGCACACACCTAAGGTTCTTGATAAACATTGTTATATTGCCTTCAGAAAGCAGTGTGTATCCTTGCCAACATTAGATTATATCATCTCTTAAACCTCCATCGATGTAATAACTCACTTGTTTATTTCAGCATAATTTATACTTTTTTTATTTTTTATTGAATCTATTGGGGTGACATTGATTAATAAAGTTATATAGGTTTCAGGTGTACAATTCTATAATACATCATCTATATACTGTATTATGTGTTCACCAACCCAAGTCCAGTCTTCTTCCATCACCATTTATCCCCTCTTTCCTCTGATAATCACCATACTGTTGGTTGTCTATGAGTAAATTTGTATTTCTTAGATTACTACCAAGATTGAAAATTGCTTCATCTACATTATCTTACTGAGGAAAATTCCTACTTACATCTTTGTTTATGCCTAAATTTTCTCACATTGGGAGATATTCCGAACACATAAAATGTATAGAAAATAGCACCAAAATATCTATTCCTTGTAGCCACCCACCAGCTCTATTAAAATATAACATTTTACCATAGTTACTTCAGAGTTTTTTTTTTTAATCCTCCCAGAATTAGCCAGGATCCTAAATTTGGTGTTAATATTTTCCATTGCATATTTTTGTGCTTTTACTTTGTATATACATTATGAATGCATAACAAATGTGGCTAAAGTTACTATATATTTTATCTATTGCGTGTACCCAACTATGATTTGTTTGGCCCCACCTTTACTTGTGATATGTTTCACTGCATTTAAATCACCATTATTTTATTGAAAAAATTTTGCATCTATATTTGTAAGTGAAATTTATCAATTTCTATGTGCCATTTTAGTCACATTTGATGTCAAGTTTTTAAAAAGTCTAAAAGGAACTGGAAATTGTACAAATGTTTACATTTTCTGGAAGATTTATAGAGAAGAGCAATTATCTCTTGAAAAAAATTTAAAAATCTGGTCACACAACAATTTTGTTTTTGTTGTTGTTGCTCATTGTACTTCGAGGTATTTTTGATAAATTTAATTCCTGTTTGTTTCTCTTCCTGTGGTGTTGGTTTGCTTAGCCTTTATGTTACTTTGTTAACTTTTTGGTTTTAAATATATATGGATACATAAACATTGGTAATATAATACCAATGTGAATTTGGTAATATATAAATATATATATTTTTCTAAAATACCATCCATATTAAGTATCTCTGGCTTTAATTACATTAGTTGTACTGATGTTTCCTTATAATTTAAAAATGGATTTTGCATATTATAGAATTTATTTTCTATATCAGTGGTTATATGTCATTTCTAAAATTTTAGTTTGATTATCCAATTTTGTGTGTGTTCATCTTCTCTTTTATTGACAGCTTTGCCTTTTTCTTACACAAAAGAATCAAAACTAGTGCTTTGATTTTAGTTATCAAATCATTAGTTTTCTATTAATTTTAATTTATTTATCAACCTCTATCTTCTCGTTATGCTTATTTTATTGTTTTTATGATTATTTCTTGAGGCAGATACTTAGTTTATTTTGTTTTTTTCTTTGCTTGATAATAAAAACAATTAATGCTATGAATTTGCCTCAGATCACTGCTTTTTTTCCAATTCTCTAATTTTAAATGAAATGCTTATTATTATTCAAATGATCCTCATTTATAATTTTAGCTTAGCATTTTCTGCACTTGGAGGACTCAGTCCCCAAGTTCTGGATTTGGCATTTTGTCTTGTTTGTTTGGAGGAGGAAAGTGTTGCTTATATTTTATTATTGCATTTAAATATTACTACATTTATATCTATGACAAAGTGACCTATACAACATGTGTGAGAGAGTGTGTGTGTGTAAAGAATCAATGAAATAATTTTTGCATTTACAAATTTTTAGACATTTTAATAAATATTTCTAGAACACTGGCAAAAAATACTTATTTCAGTATTTTTCTATTAAGCGCATTACCAATTATAATAATATCTTTTCTATCATCTTTTACTATTTCCTGTTTGACCTGTAAAAGAGGAGAGGAATATTAAAGTCTCCTAATTTGGGGGGAGATATTGGTCAAAGGGTACAAAGTAGCAGTTATGTGGGTTGAGTAAGTCTAGAGATCTAAGGTACAACATGATGGCTATAGTCAATAATGCTGTATTAAATATTGGAAATTTGGGAAGAGATATTTCAGGTTCACTCATCACATACATACACAAAAGGGTAACTATGTGAAGAGATGATATGTTAATTAGCTTGGCTACAGTAATTATTTCACTGCTCATATGCACATCAAATCATCATATGATATGTCATTTTTATTAAAAATTTTTAAACATTAAAAAATAAAAGGAGCACAAAAGTTTGGACTGATTGTTACGGGGAATGGGGCAGTAAATTAACAACAAAATGTCCCATTTTTATTGTGCTAATTTCCTATAGCATTGCCAGAATTTTTTGCTAAGCAGTGTTATGAAAATAACATATGCACATGGTAACAAAAGAAAAGAAAAAGATGCCAATTAATTTTAAAAACATGTTCATTTCCCTTCTGTTTGGGTATAACCATTAACGGTTCTTTATATATTCTTCTAGGTGCATTCTACCTAAAGGCACCTGAGGACCCAAAACTGGCAGAGAATGGAGAAGACTTCAGCACTACAAAAGGAATGGCACTGGATGAGTTTCTCGTGTTTTGAAAGTCTTTTAGCCCAGGGGCGGGCTCTCATTGACATCATAATTTTTAACAAATTACAGAAATTAGCAGTCTTACTAGCTAGAAGAATCAAGAGACAGTTTGGGGCAATGACAAACAGACAAACAGGGAGACTGAATTCTGGTCATATGACAAACTGGAAATATTATTATCAAACTGGACATTTTGAAGTCAGAAATGCAGCTGTTGAGAAGCGGTACATGGAAAGTCTGAAGAAAAGGTAGAGAGAGGGAAAGGGACTTTCCTCCCCAAATAAAACAGGTGGCACTGTCATTCAGAGTTCCTCCATTAGGCCAACCTTCACCCATATTGCTTTGCTCTCTAAATTTGAGATTAAATGTAGATGAGTGCTTTTGCCTAACTTCCCAAATCATTTTTTGGAATGATTGGGGCGACTTATGTGATATCAACAGGCCTCTCAGTTGAATGTCAAGGAAGGCAGCTCTGATTGGCAAGGGAACCTCCAGCTTCATTGAGAAGCATTCAATTAGATGGAAAACAGATGCTTATTTTTATCTTATAAACCTCGATGCAGGTTATGTGGTAATTACTTCAAAGAGCAGGATCACAATTTATGTAATCAGCAGGACCCTATAATTACTGATGCATAATTTCCAAACAGCATTTAGCAGAATGAGGCCCATACATACACTTTGTAATGAAAAAAGATGTGTTTGACACCACACTAAATTAAATGAAAAATTAGCATACTTTCTTCCAGGAAACACACCGGCTTCGTCTGCTTTATTTTGCTCCACTAATCCCTGCCTACCCTTAGCTGCGTTGCAGGATTANTACACCGGCTTTGTCTGCTTTATTTTGCTCCACTAATCCCTGCCTACCCTTAGCTGTGTTACAGGATTATGGAGGAGCTGAGTCACAGTGAAAGCTGAGCAAGGGCATAGAAACCAGGAGAGAAAGACGGCCCTCTCTGCCGTCTGGGATAATAGAAGATCGCTCTAAGAGATGATCTGGAAAGCTACATCTGGACAACTTGCTTCCCCCCAAAGATTTACTGAAGGTCGTATAATCACTTAATTTATGATATAAGTAAGTGCTGGCAGAGAACTTAGAAATGATCTGTACTTATCTCTTTATAACAGGTAAAAAACTGAGGCCGAGTAACATGGTATGAATTGTACGATATCAAGCATTTGGCAGTAGAAGTAAGAAAGTGTTCGGCCAGTTAGTCCCAGTCCTATGTGAAGTCCATTCCACTATCCTGGTGGCTCATATAGAGTTAATGGTAGACGAGCTACAGACGACCTTAGCCCCACCGATCCTGAACATTTCTGCAGTGAGTATTTTGAAATTTGCATGTACATTTGCATCGCTAGTAAATTTTTACAGTAGCAGGTAGAAAACGCGGTAGTAGACAGTCGTGTAATGGGTATAGCATCTCCTGGTAATAATTTAATTTCTCTATTTCAAGCAAGTTGAGTAGCAGTTACTTTCGTTCTCTGCCTGAAAGACCATTGATGAAATCGCTGAGTTCTTACCTCCAGTTCCTGAAGTCAGGTCAGGAGGACCGCCAGTCTCCTCTTCAAAGCTCTGCACCTGAGACAGCAGAATGCGTCAAACTCATCAGAGATGCTCTCGTAATAAATTCACTTCATTTATGGAATCAACATCTAGCGAGCGCCTACTGGCTACTGCTACAAGGATCAACAAGGATTTCTGAGCTCAAACGCTTACAGTCTGCTGAAGTCAGGTGGCGTGTACAAGACACTCAAAATAAGGTTTCCGAGAACTAAGGGGGTTCAGGGGAGGGAAGGGGGAAGATCACTCCCGGGGGAGGAACAGAGGCCCTGCCCGAAACATGTGGCATTTGAACTAAACTGAAATAATAATAATATTGTTATTGTGGATTTTTTTTCTCCCAAATAGCTTTAAATATATGTGGAGAAAGTAAGTTATTTCCCATATTTAATTTTAGCTCTCTATGGGATTTATTTATGACTTGGTAAATTTATGAATAGCAGTTCAGAAAATTTATAACTGAGTTCCTACGTAAAGCTTAGGTAGCTCAAAGAAAGTTTGATTTCCAAACTGATAAAGCAGAATTTATTTTAAAAAAAATATTTAAGCAATTTAATGAATACTGCTTTACTGATGAAAATAAAATTATTGTTAAAACAAAGAAAAAGTATTGCTTACTATAGAACCTTAATAAATATGAGAAGTTAAAGAATGTATGAACTCAGTTACTGTTAATGTTTTAGAGTGTGTCTGTGCAAGTTTTCTTTTTAATACATTCATTCTGGATATAGTTATGTAGTCATTTTTTCACTCAAAATTTGGAAGAACTTTGTTCTGACATCATAAAATTTGTCTGAAAACACCATCTGTAATGACTGCACAATAGGCCACATTTTAAAGGTACATTAATTTCCTTAATGAGTTTCCTAAATTGAATGTTTTCTAAATTTTGCAAATAGAAATAATGCTGGGATGAACCTATTTCTACGTGTTATATTTATTTGAGATTGGTGTGTGAATATTGAAGGCTGAGTCAGCGGACACAAGCATTTTAAACACTGAGATGACCTTTATCTCAGGAGTAAACAGAGGACCCTGAGAACATACCTCAGCAACGTAAGAAGAAATATTCGTTCAAAAGAAGTTACTTTATATTGTAATTAATTCAACATACTTCTTAACATTATTTTCATTGCTTTTGTAACTGAAACTAGCGTGCATCACAAGAGTGTCAAATAGAATAAGAGAAGTATTTCGCTGTGACCGTTCTCATGGGGAAAACTCCATTTAATGCAATGCAAATATGTAGCCGTCTATTAAAGAAAGGAAAAAGCCCCCATCATTTAAAATGGAAACCAGTGGTATTCCTGGTTATTTTGCCTGAGCCAAACTAAATAAATTTTTAAAAAATAAAAGTAAAGAAATCATTAAAACTTTTGAAACATTTCCCGCCTACCAGAGCCTATCAGAGTGCCTCACAGCACAGGGTCCGAGGCAGGGCGGCTGACCCTGGGATTTGCATGTAAATATCCTGCCTCACTTATGGATAATTTAATATGAAAGCTGCAGGGGGAGGGGGAATCCCTGCTCTTCTGTACTTTCTTTGTACTAATAACAAAGAATAGAGAAATTAGTGAAAATGTGCATATATATATATGTTTTTGTTTTTTTAAAAGACTGAAGTGCAGGTGAGATGTCATCTAAATAGGGTGAAAATGAGCATGAATTGAGAAGGTGGCAAAATGGGGGTCAAACTATGTGACTATCAATAAATCCTAAAGTGAACTAACAAAATACTGGTCTCATAAAAATAAAAACCAAACCACCCTACTGCTCTGTATAGGGCCCCACATTCATCATCCTGGGGGAAATATTTCCAAGACATGTGCCCTTGATGACAAAACCTGGTCCTTGAGGAGCTGGTGGAGGGGGAGATGTCACACACACACACACACACACACACACACACGCTCTCCCTGCCCAGGCTGTGAGATTACAGAGCAGGAATTTCACAGAGTGGGAGGTAGTTGAACTGACCCTCAGCGAAGGTGAAATGTGGAAAGTCAGAGTAGATAAAAGCATCCTGAGATGCTTNGAGTGGGAGGTAGTTGAACTGACCCTCAGTGAAGGTGAAATGTGGAAAGTCAGAGTAGATAAAAGCATCCTGAGATGCTTTTATCAGTGAGCAACTGCAACGTCAGAAATGACCTGTGGGTTCAATTGTGAGCAAAGCGATGGGAGAAAGCAAAGGCCAGTTTCATAGGCATTCAGTTCTGCCTGAAGCAACTAGAATGACCTTAAATGTCCTGGAGTAAGCAGGAGTGTGGAGCAAGCAAGACCCACTGCCGAGGGCCGGGCGGATGAAGGGGTTAGATGAGGGCTGGGAGGCAGAGCTGCCTCCATGAGGGTATCTCCCCTAGACCCTGAGCACCAGGTACGACACTGACCTCTTCCATTTCGAAGGATTCCGGTGCTTCCCTCGCACCAGACAAGTTCTTGAGCTTGCCGGCCTGAATCAAGCTTTCCTTTCGAGCTCTGTCCTTGCCTGATCCCTCGGGCACACGGGAGGGAGGAGCCTGATGGGCCAGTGTGGCTGAGTAAGGCCACCGCCTTTTCAGAAGAGCTCGGGGAGGATGGCTAGGCATCGAGTCATCAGAGGCTTGGAGAGGCCCTTGCTCTGCCAAAGGACACAACGGGCTTTGGTCAAGGGTGTCTGTCACGGCTGGTAACCTTGCAGACGGGGTGGAAAAATGTTCCCTCTTCTTGAAAGACTCTGACACGTCGGAACTCCTGTTTCTCCTGAGGCTCGGCTTGGAGGCCCTCCTGAAAAGTTCGCCCATTCTTCTCTGATGCTCCTGGGCTCCACGCATGGAGGTTCCTTGAGCACTTTCCTCTCTGTCTTTCTCGTCGGCTTTGCTCTGCATGGTGTTAACATCACTGAGCAAAGATGAGAAGGCATTGGCCACATGATCCAGGATTTCCAGCTGTTGGAAACGGTCTGAACAACATAGAAAATGCAGTTTTTAGGCTGGGTCTTAGTAATCAAACTGCATAAGGTGGTCAAAACTGAAGAGGCCGGTTAACACACGATTTTCAAGATGGGAAGGACTAAGCTCCTGAAACTCAATTTTCCCCCCTCTACATGCTACTAGTTATAGTGGAGGTGACTCCCCTACGTAATGAGACATCCCTGTGTTATGGGGAAAGTGAATACCTTTCATATTTAGTTGTACACGCATAACTAGATTCATATATGTCAAAAGTTAATTATGTGTTAATCCATAAAATCAACAGGCAAAGATGATCTTGAGTTTAACCTTATGAATTAAACTAAATGTCAAAAAGTGAACCCAGGTCTTTCATACAAGATGAACTTGACTTTCTTCCAGCCCTTTACGCAGTAGTTATCCTCACGCTCACCTCCATCTATTGTCACCTGAGAGTGTGGAAAGATCATGGCGCATGGGGTCAGAGGGCCTGGATCCAAATTCCAGGTCTACCAATCACTGAAAGTGTGACTGCAAAGTAAGTGAATTAATAGATATATGCTCCTTAGCCCTGTGCCCGCCACATAGTAAATGGTCAGTTTCTTCATCTGGAGAATGGGGGTAATAATACCTGTCTTAAATGTCTCTCACATCTGTTGTAAAGAGCACAATGTTATGTAAGTACCAGTTGTTGAAATTTTAAGTGTGCATGGCTCAGGAAGGATATACACTGTCTTCAGTCTCTTAAGATAGTCACTAACGTGACAACCCATCTGCCTTTCCAAACAGACCAGCCTCTTAACTTGTAAGTCTTTTTGGATGATCTGGCGTCAATCCTTTGGGCAATACGCAAATGTTGACCTAATTAGCATATGGGGAGATCTAATGCAACAAGGGCTGATTTGGAGGCACATTACCACTTTGAAAAAAATGGGGGAACTATTTTTGATATCACCAATACTAAAAACAATGGTAATGGAAACAGCACATTTTGTTTTTATGACACAGCCTTCTCTCAAACCCAGTGATCACAAGGGGGACTGCATAGCTCAGTGATGGGGAGGCCACGTGCGTAGGGAAAGATGCTGTTGTGATGGTGTGAACAACACAACAGCATCCTTCCCCACCACCTATCATCCTGCTACTCTAAAAACTGTGAGGGGCTTCTCACTGAGGACTGGAATATTCGTTCAAGACCTGGAGGAAATCTTGGATTATGGATGTTTTCAGAAGCATTCTACTTACATCTCACCCTTAAATTCAACTTTAGTTGAAACTACATCTCTTTTAACAGCCCAAGGGTACAACTGAATCCTAATTCCACTTCTATGATTGTTTTAACACCCATCCTATAGCAGATTTTTATACTTAGACTAAGACAAAAACCTATCAATTTAATTGGTTCGGTCAATTCAGAGAGCTCAGTAGGATGACATATTGGAGGAGTGGGTTTGTTTGTTTTGCCTTTGGGTAGATGGGACAATGAATGAAACAACTGATTCTCATTCCCTCAAGTATTGACTTTGAATGAGACATACTTTTCCATTCCAGCTTTAGAAAAGCCAACTAATTTTATTATTCCTTGTTTATGTGACCTTCCCAGCTTTCTTGAATGAAAAGTGTACTGGTAAGTATTGAGTGAGAATAGTTACCTTGCACTATTAGCAACATGTTAAGTGGTGGAAATAAGAGCAGGCAGGCAATCATATGACCAGGGGCCAACTCCTGCCTCCTCTATGATCCCCGTGTCAATTTTATCTGTAAATGTTGACTTTACAGATCAGCTTAAATACTCCTCAGATATTGATAAGTGCTATTATTTTCCCCAAATAAAGAACTGATCAAAGAACTTGGCATCTCCATGTGACTTGGAGGAGAAGACAGCGTCGCTGGGATTCAGACGCCACGAGATCCTCACTTACCATACAAGTTAGGGTTCTCTATGTCCATTCGCTGCTTCTGAGCTTCAAGGAAGACGCAGATATTGATTCCTCTGGCTGCTGAGTCACAATCTAGGAACCTGGTTGGAACTTTTGTGCAGATGTCGGGCTCGTCAGCACCAAACCCCAGATCCAACAGAATCTCCACTGGATCTTTTTCCCAAAATTCCAGCCATTCAGGAATACTGCAATGAAAAATATGAGTCACAAAAACATACATGCGTTACAGTTTGCACGCTGGCTTTATAAATAGTAACATACTCTATGTATCTTTTGGTATCTTGGGGTTTTTTCTCCTAAAAATATGACTTCGAGATCATAAGTTCGTGTGATCACACACATACACATATATGTATACACACACACACATGCCACCTATTCCCTTTGCCACTGCATAGAATTCCATAAAATGGGAACCAATAATTTCTCTGACCATTTCCCCACTGACAAATATTTAGCTTGTTTCACTGACCCTTTTATACTCTTCTTGCAAGTCGGAGCTTAGAAATCCTTACGCATCCTCTCACCCACCCATTCGCAAATTTCTCAAGTATAATTTCACAGGCTCCCCCGTCGCCCAGGATGGCTTTCCCGGGGCGACGCGCCTGGGAGCACCTACCTTTGCGGTATACTCACGGCAGAGTGGCACGAGTTGAAGCTGGTCCCTCGGGACAGGCTGGGCGTTTCTGAGCACTGGTGCAGAGATCTACGGGGGGGAGGGGAGCAACGATGCGATGGCCTATTTAGACAGTCCCCTGGGAGGTGGCTGCGAGTCTTCCCCCCCAGCCCACGTTCACATTTCCTCGTCATTTCTGGAGGGACCACGCCGCTGAAGAGGGCGGGCACGGGCGGAGGGGCGGCTCCTGCCTCCAAGGGGACTGTGCTGCAGGAGGTGTCAGGTGCCCGCCAGTGCTCGTTATGAAGGCGACAGAATGTCTCACTTTTGACAGATGGCAGATCACCAGGGAACCTTTGAGGGACGCTCTTTGCTAGGTACCGACTTTTGGGACGAAGTTAACATCATGTGATAAAAGAGACTGAGGTGGCTCTGCATTCATTCTCATCAGGAAGGACGTCCCCGGGCATGGTGAGCGGCCCCCGATGCTGTCCCCAGGCTCCTGTGGCCAACTGCACACAACAGTAACACACTCCTTTACCGCTGCAAAAACCAGCGTCCCCCTACCCGAAGAGGCCCGCACTGCAGGCCATTGGAAAGCAGTTCCGAACAGAAGGAAACGTTGCCATATTATAGCTGGCTTGCAGGCAGCTCAGCGAAACCATAGCTGCATCGAGCTTCATCCAGCACGCTAGCCAGTTGGCACAACATCGGCATTTATCAAAGAACACAATGTGGGTAACTGTTTTCCCAGGGAGGCAAGGTACCCTGCGTGGGCAGCGGAATTTGCCTTGGCCCTGTCCCTGAGCGAGCATAGCTGGGCCTGCCTCTGTGTTCAGTCCCTTCTCTGCATTGAGGCTCCGAAAGCGTGTGTCTCTGAATGATGAAGACCCCGTTTAATAGACAGCTGAGCTCGCTGGGAGCCTTGAGGGCGGCAGGAGGTGGCCTCTCACTCACTGCTTTGCCCCGTTTGTGACAGGCCAGCCGTCGCTTCTGTTTCACTCGGGGTTTGAGGGTCACATCTCATTTTGTAAAGCTCAGCCGAGCTCCCCAAACTGTGCTGGCCTTGAAGCCAGGAGAAGCCAGGGGCCGTCGGGCTTCTAATCAGGCCACGGGAGCACGGGAGTCACTAACCTGGGCTCTCAGTTTCCTCTTGGACAAAACGAGCTGCCTGAGGACGTCTGTGGTCCCTGTGGCTCTACGATGACTAACCCTTCGAGAGGGGAAAACTGTGATGAAGGAGCGCGTCTGGTGTGGATTCATAGGAGGCGGGGATACAGTGTTGACCGTTTGGTTTTCACCTGATTGGAATTATCCTGAAAATGCAAGAACGGCTGACATGTGGGGAACAGAGTTCCCGACCTCCAAAAGCTCACGGTCTAGTTCAGTGCTGCTTAAACTAGAGCGTGCCCAGAACCACCCGAAGGCCTTGCAGAAACACCAGTTTCTGAGCTCTGCCCTAGATTTCCTAACACAAAGTGTCCGAGGTGGGGATCAAAAATGTGTCCTATTAAAGTCTCGGGTGATGTGAATGCTGCTGCTCGGGACCACATTGAGACCTAGTCTATCCTCAAATGAAGAGACTCTCACTGCTTTCCACCTAAGGCTGGAAATTATAATTATTCAATTATAGCATGACAGTCAATAATACCGGCAACAGGAAAATATGAACGTAGCTGCTTTAAGAGCAGGTCCTCATGAACCGTAGAATTCGAGTAGAATGCCATCTGGACACATCTTTGTGAAATCCCCCCAAGGCCAGCATTTGTTCATTTAACTTGCTCACTCCTTTGTGACATTTTAAGAACCTCTGTTTCTCTCAAGGCCAGTGACAGCATTCTAGGCACTGTGGCTGCACCAGAGAAAGACCCCAAGGGCCATGTCATCACTAAGAAGCCCCCTCGATGCCGCTTCATTTATGAGGGACATGGCTGCAGGGTCCGTGAGAGAAGCGACGCGGGGCCCGCCACCTACCTCATGTAGTCCCTCACGGTCATGTGAGCCATTCCTTGTTCGTGCGGACGGACTGCAACAGAAAGGGGGGAGGTGAACTTAGCTTCCCCGGATCTCATGGGACAGTTTCTCACCGTCCAAGGAGCCAACATGCCATTGCCTGGCATGCCTGAGGCTGTAGGGGAGGAGACGCAAGGCATCCCCGTGGCGAGCGAGATGGAAGGGAATGAACGGCCAGACGCTGCGACCAGCACCCGGAGGGACGCGGCCCTGCTCAGCGGGGGGGAGGCCTGTGGCACGTCAAGGGGTCAGCTGCGCCTCCGTGGGGAGCAGCAGTGCTTGCCTCGGGTTTCTAACAACGGGGAGAATTTGATGGTTGGGAAAGAGGTGTTGCCACGAAAGAAGAGTGTGGACAGCAAGGACAAAGCTCAGTGACAGGGCTGGTCCGTGAGATCGGGTGGCATTTGGGGATTCTCTTGCATGGTAGGATAAGTTGAGAGGCAAGGGTGGGGACAGGCAGAAAACCACAGGAAGGACTCAGCATTTATTGAGGGTCTTTCATTCAATTTAATCCTACATCAGTCTTATAATTTAGGACCTACCCTTATTTTTTCAGATGAGAAAGTTGCGACTCACACAAGTTGAGGGATGAGCCCAGATTGCAGTCGAGAAAGGCAGATCCAGGAATTCAGCATCACCGTTATTTCTCGTTATAGCAATAACATTACTATTCATTTAGCATGAACTCTGGGCGAGGCAATGTGCTAAGCATGTTACATGCAGGGTCTCTTTTAATTCGCATAACAAATCCACGGGATAGGTGTTACTAATCCTCATTTAATAGAGGTAAACTGAGGCTCAGAGAGATGAAATAAATTCCAATGACCTATAGGATGCCACAGCTTATTTTTGTTGGTTGGTGTTAATTTTTCCCTTCAAAATACCATAATGCCAACAGAATGCCTCGTAGCTTATTTAAAATCCACAAAGAGGAGTTAATATGAAAGGGTCAGGACATGGAAAACCATAGATGGTTCTGGAGCAAACAAGTAAACGTGAGGAAGGGAATGCTGAAGGTCCATTTGCCTGCTTAGTGGTGCCGAGGACAGGACAGAACAGCTAAATGCTGGGTGTCAGATAGGCCATTTGGGGGCCAGGTGGTATTAAGAAGCTGTGTCCGGACATAACCGTGCAGACATCTGCAGGAGGAAATATCCAGAATATGGGTAAGTTCTCAGAAGGTTCACCAGTCTTCTCACGTCCTCTCACTGTGGCTCTCCTAGGTGCGAATGGGTGACACATATAGAACTGGGAAGTGTTGTCACCCTGCATTGCTATGACAATGCGAAGCTTTTCACCATAAGGGAGAGATTACAGGTTGGGAAAAATCTTGGGAAAACAAACCCAAATGATTGAAACACATGAAAGAAGTCTGCAAATAATAAAGGGCTGTTTGGGCTGGAGCCGGAGTTCTTGTTTGGGTAGGGGTCTGTGAATAGATCTCAAGATATCTGTGTATGTCTCTGAATGCTAAAATTTGGGGGTGGATACCCATAGTTTTCAGCTGTTTTTAAAGAATATTCTTATTAATTTTTAGAGAGAATGGAAAGGAGAGAGAGAAACATCGATGTGAGAGAGCAACCTCGATGGGCTGCCTCCTGCATGCCTCCCTCCAGGGATCGAGCCCACAATCCGGGCATGTGCCATGACCAGGAATCGAGCCTGCAACCTTTTGGTGCACGGGACAGTGCCCAACCAACTGAGCCACACCAGCCAGGGCTCAGCTGTTCTTTTTTGAAGGCTCAGTGACCCTGCTGAATGGAAAAGGAACACTTGTCTAAACCGATAAAGACTAGAGGTATATTATTGAGGGGTGAGCAAATAGCAGATTCTTAACTAAGCCCAGAAAACACAAAGACAATTTAAAGAGGCGGTGAGAGAAGAAATAAAATAACTGTCTGCCCTACAAAGCAAATGCAACTCAGTCGGCACAAGAATCGTACGGGGTGAAAATAGAAATCTATGCTAAAGGTTTAAAAATAGAGTAGGGATATATATGGCCTCTGTGCCACCCCCTCCCAGTCCCGCTCCCATAGCAGACATCACCAATCGATTACATCACTTTCTCAGAGAGCCTAGATAGGCTCTCAAGATATCTAGGAGCAATGAGACGAAGCTGAGTTGCCATCCTGTGTTTAGAATGAACTTCATGAGCAGGGTAGAGGGGGTCAAAGTGGGGAAAAGGGGCATCTGTAATACTTTCAACAATAAAGATACATTTTTTAAAAAAAGAAATTGCTAACTTGAACGAAATATATAACTGCTCATAAGACATTCTAGGGAGCCACTGCCAAGGATGGAATATTGAGGCAAATGATCATTATTATGATACAAATATGACATTTTTCAAATGTTCTGTGTGACATCTGGTGACAGATATTCATGCAAGTCAAAATATCTGACTCAAACCTAAGTACCAAGTTAGGAATGAACTTAGAACCAAAACTCCAGTCTTTTTTGCCCATTACGTTGGTGGTTTTAAAACTCTGGGTTTTAGCAGAGATTCTTTTGCAAGATTCTAATAGTTTACATGGATCAAAAGGGAGTTGTTCTGACGGTGTTGTCCCATCTGCTCTTCCTTCACCCTTTGAGGCACCTCCAAGACCCAGGCCTTGAAATGCATTTATTCAGCATCAAGTGCCTCACCCGGCGGGCATTGCTAATCCACGGCAGCACCCTTGCTCACTGCACTCAGCTCAGCCTCAGAGCTTCTCTGAGCATAGAGCCATGACCAACTGATGGAAGTCGTCACAGGAGAGAAAGCCTCTTTGCCACTTTATTAAACCACATTATAGATGCAAGCACTGTCTAATTTTTGACAGTCATATTGTAATGATCGATGTCATAATACAGTAAATGAGTTGCCCCAAATGGAAGGTAAAATAAATATCTATCTTAAGCAATTTTTTTCTATTTCTCCCTGGCTCCCTTTCCACCACCCCCACCTCCACCTGCTGCTGTGCAGGAAACTCACAGGGGCAGGCGCCCTCTGCGCTTTAGCTCATGCAGAGAACCCTGGAGTTTCTGAGCATCTCTCCTCCCCTAAAACATTCCGTGGCTCTGCATGTCCTGTCAGGGCGCCACTCTCGCCCCCGCATGGGTCTTTTCTGGTTGCCTGCGTTGCTCTGGATTTCCTCGGACGTGTGACTGAATCTGCAGTGCGCATCCAGGCCGGGCCTGGCCCTGTGGCCGCAGTGAATTGCTCAGACTGTCGGAGAAGAAGGGATCCATTTTCAGACCCTGATGAGAAGGGTTTGCTCAGCCTGCTGCAAGTTCAAAAACCCTAGCCCTGCAGGCAATCTGGTCATCCAGAAAAATGTGCAGCCTGCAGCCCAAGATTCTCGAGTCAGATACTCCTTGGACCACACCCCACAGCCCTGCTAACCACGCTCAGAAGCAACCTGGTTGCCAGGAAACCAAGGGGAGCCACGAAGAGGAACAGAAACCCCTAAAGGCAACATGTTTTCTAGGGGATGTGCAAAGTGGAGCCGGCTAGGTCACAAGCCACCGTAAGGCCCGCCATCACTGACCTAGGGATGGCCGGGGTGTCCGAATCCGTCTCCTGAATCCCACCCTCCCTCATGCACTGACACAGCTTTAAATCCTTTGTTAGACTTATACGCTTTCTTCTTGATCTGGTTTAAATGACACAAATGTCTGTCTCCATCTAGTACAGTCACACACATAAGCCTTCTCTGCTGCCAAGCTCAGATTTTGGAGAAAACTAAGCCAGGAAAAAATCAATATGATTTTTTAAAAAATCCACAAGATAAGCCCATTTTAAAAATTGTAATAAAATTATTAAAAATGAATTTGGTTCATCGCTCCATTTCCTTTGTGCATCTCCAGGTTCCTTGGGTCTTGGGGAGCAGTGATTGACCTTCCCAACACGTCTGCCTGGTGGCTGAGAGTCTTGCACAGAGTGTGGATTTTTGTTCCTTGCCTGTTGAGGGGTTTTTCATTGTGGTGGTGGTTGTTTCATTTTTGGTTTTTTCTACTTTGCCATTTTTCAAGGTAAACTTCCTGGAGCCTGAGGACGGACTCTTCAAGGTCAGGTCACCAGTTTTCTATAATGAACCTGAACCAAGAGGCACAACAAGCTGGTGGCCCAGTTCTCACAGGCACTGGGATTCCTAGAATTTCCTGAAAACCCAGGAAATCCAGCAATTCTGGGCCAGGCCTCTTCAGGGCAGCAATCTGTTGGCGGCCACGTGCTCTGCAGTTCTCTGCCCTCTGTCCTGCCTGCTGGGTTCACTGGTGGTCCCCTGCCTGGCTCCCAGAAGCAACTGAGTCTGCAGCTCTGATCACAGTGAGAATGTGACACCCAAGAAATGCCGCGTGGAGCAAACCAACTGCTCCTGTTGCCCCGATTTTCTCAAGCTTCTGCAAGCACCAGGCCTGCCCCAGGGAGAAGATGGGACCCTTACAGATGTGCCAGATGTGAGTGCATCCATCACTAAGCCCTGCTCGCTGGACCTCCTTCATTCCTCACTCATTTCTCTAGTTGCTTGGTCTGGATACTTTCTCCAATATTTCCCCCCTTCCAAGATGCCCTTATTCGGTTTATAAAACCAGATTTCACTTTCTAAAATCATTGGGGAATGAAGAAAGAAAAATAATAATAAGGTCCTACTATTCCCAAGTTTCGTGAGGGTGGACTTGGAGAATTAAAGCAGGAGAAGCCGCGCCCTGCCCCACGCAGCGAGTCCCCCTGCAGGGGTTAAAACGCCCCTCTGATTCCGTCAGACTCGGGCTCCAGCCCCCGCCCACCGCTAGGTGGCCCCCTGCCATCTGAAGCAGCAGCCACCGCACTTAACCCCGCACAATGCGTTGCTGGGGAAGATGGAGCGCGATACGCAGAAGGCACTAATTAGCACCTTTATTGGCTTAGAAAGCAGTTTTTATTTTGGTTTTCCTAAGCATTTCTGACTGATTCATGGAAGACATTTGGTTCTTTGGAATACCGTCCAATAGACTAATCAAATTACATTTTCACAGGGCTCTAAAATAATAGCATTCTGCAGCTTTCTGTGTACTTAACCCCTGCGTGACCAAGGCACTTAGAAGAAGCAGTCGGCAGGGTGTGTTTCATTAGACGAATTATTAATTTAGAGTCTTACAAAAAAAAAAAAAAGAGAGAGACTCTTCATTTTCTCTGACAGTCATGCTCACCCCTTAGAGCTGGTTGCAATGCCTGGCTCTGCTTTACCCAGATATCTGTTTATTTTGCAGATGCTGTTGACTCATCCTTTCTATTGCCCTGCTGACACCCGCCCCGAGCATGAGGTCACAATAGCTTTGTCCCAGGGTATGCACCTTCCTCCCATTGCCAGGATAAACACTGGAACCTGTCGTCCCTCTTCTCAGAAACCATTCATAACTCACTGCAATGAGATGGCAACAGGCCTGCTGCAATTCCCGGTGCTGCACCTATGGCATCTGTCACTTGCGGCTCATGACCCCCTGTTCAGGTCAACAAAGGTAGGGCTACTCAGCATAGACTCAGCACAGATCCGGGTTACAACAGCCTGTTTTTTCATTGAACTGAGATGACACTTCTTCGCCACCCCTCTCCTAAGATATCCAGCGAGACTCCCTCTTTCTAAGTTTTAGGGCATTTATAACCTGGCAACAGCCTGTTTAACAGAAACACTTCCACCTCTTCTCTGTCGCCCAAAACCATTCCTCTGGCCTGACCACCTCCTGCGTGCTTCCCGCACACATTTGGTTTTCTTTTTCAATGACTTTGTCCAAGCTCCACTTGCTTCCACCACACGGCGTTGTCTAGCTTGACCTCTTGGTTGTTTTCAAAGCCGCATCTCTCTGATTGACTAGCTCCTGCCTCACCTCTCCTTCGAAGATTTCCCAAGCTGACCACATCGCCTTCGTCACAGACCAGCTTTCCTGAGTGCCTTTGGTTGATCAGCCCTGGAGAAATCCGATGGGTCAGAGGCATTCCCGCCTCGGGGGCATCTACAATTTTGTTAGTGAGGCCGATCCTATCCCTAGTGATGGGAGGCAGCACAGGCCAAGCTCCACGGGAACAGAGCCCACGATGGCTGTGCCTGGTGCTCAGAAAAGTGACTGCATCTCTCAGTGCAGGTGCCAGCAGGGGCCTGACCCAGATCATGGAACTTGAGTCAGGACTCAGAAGAAGAGATGGAGGGGAAAAGAACAGGAAAGATGTTAAGTCGGGAGGGACTGGAGGGAGAAAGAGAAAAGACTGGGGATGTCATGGGGGGTAAGACTAGAAGGCCTTTTAGGGAGTGGGTACAGGTCGCGATCCAGTTGTGATGGTCCTGGAAGGTCAGAGCGACACTCCTGAGAGCAGGAGCCGTGGGTTCTCCATCTCTGTCCCTGCCACCTGGCCCCGTTCCTTGCTCTGGATCTCTCTTTTGATAAGCATTAAGGGGCCGTCTATCACGTTTAATTGGATTTACTTTGACCTTTCCTTGTAATAGAGACCACAACATTTAGAATTTGATCTTGAAGGTTCTTAGTGGTTAATCCACCCCTTCTGGAAAGACGTGAGTTTACTTGTCAGGGACCTCCTTGGAGACTGAAGAAGAAATACTTAAATATTAAAAAGACGAGTGAATTAACCACCCACCAGACCATCATGGCACCCCGCAGATCTTTCACAGACAGACACTGCCCTTCTGCGGTGGGAGTGAGTTCTAGTGTTTCCGCTCACAGCTATGCCCAGGTGTGTTGTTAACAAGTACACCTGGTGTCACCCTAGCATCACACATGCGTTTGGTGCACAAGTCTGTCCACACAGCATCAGGACAATGCATCTCAGAGTCAGGGCTGATGTTCAGTTTGTTTCCTAGGGGTGGGAATGGGTTGGCCACTGACCAGCTCCTCTCCGGGCTTTCTAATACACGGTTTAATCTGGAACCCGGGACTACGAGCCGGTCTGCAGCCTGGGAGGAGGGGCCTCACCACTCAGGACCGTGGGCCTCATCCCCCGTCCCAGACTCCCCACCCCCAGCCCCTCGCCGCAGCTCCTGGCTGCCCTGAACTCAGCGAGTGTCGGCCTCACCACGACGAAGACCAGCACACAGAGGGGCTGGCAGCGCTGGGCTACAGTCTCCCCACCTGCCACCAGCCAGCTGTGACCAGGAACAGCGGCCCTTGACCGCCGGTGGCCCAGATTCTTCACCTGTGAATCACTAATGAACGCCAGCCTGGCGACCGCACAGGTCACTGAGCCTGAAATGTGACAGATGAGAGAGGGCCTTGTAGAGGCGAAGGCTCAATTAAACTCGTAAGGAGCTGTTCCATTATGATTAGAGGCCCCGCTGACGACCAAGGACCCTGCAAACTGAAGCTGCATCTCGGGTCTCGCAGCCACTCCGACACCCCTCCTCTCCCCCAGGCCGTCCCCCCACGTCTGAGCCATTCCGGACGAGAAAGGGCCATGATTTGTGTCTAATTTTAGGGAGGCGAAGTTTTAATATAGTTACTGACAGCCCAGAACTGGTGCAGGCCTCCCGCCGCGACCTGGGCAGATGAAACGCCCGGGATGTGAAATGCTGGCTGTATTTCTCACACTCGCCTTTCTTTGAATCTGAACTATGACGAACAGAGGTGCTTAACTTCAATTTATAGGCAAACATCTCCAGAGATTTTGGCAGCGTGGAACAGTTATATTTTAAAAAAATAAGCTTGGCGCCCTGGCTGGGTGGCTCAGTTGGTTAGAGCGTCATCTCAGTACACCTAGGTTACGGGTTCGATCCTTGGTCATGGCACATACAAGAAGCAAACAGTGAAGACATAGATGAGTGGAACAACAAATCAGTGTCCCCCCCCTCAGCAAAGAAGAACATTTCAGCGAATTTACCTAGTTTTTCAAGTAAAAAAAAATCCCCAATTCAAACTGGTTTGTAGCCAATGGTCATCTTAATTTAAAAGGCGGCGAAAAAAGTAAAATAATTAAAACCAACCAAGTAAGGGACAATTGACTAATAATTATTTCCTCTAATCATCAAACTCCTAATTTATGTCATTTCTATATCCATTATTTATGGCATTGCACCAATTTGAAAATATACTTTTTTTACATTTTAATGTGTATACAGTCAGGACGTGTCAGTGCTGCCTTTCATTTATAATCACCAGTTCTTGTTGTTTTATTTTCCCATCTGAGTGAAACTTAAAGTGTGAGTGTGTTTTACAATCCAGGGATTTCAGATTCTAGGAAATACGGTATTTCATTTAATGGAGATGGGAACTGTGAGACTTGCCATTAAATTTCTTTTTATAATGCTCTTATCACATCTCTGTGTAACAAGCGTGCTACATGTTTTGCCTCGGAAATACACGCTTCCATTGTTTGCTAGAGAATTCTGTCTTTTCGAGAACAAATGCATCGTTAGAAAGAGAGGATATCATTTTGAGACCAAAGAAGGGAAAGAAACTAGGTTTAGAAAGAAAACTACAATAGACTAAAAGGAAAAATGAAACCATTTGATTTCCATAATTACATTCTTGTGAAAGTTTTCGGCTAGAGTCTGAGCTAATGCTGTGGCAAGAGTCCTGGTTTCCTGCCCCGACCGGTGCTGGACAATCCCCTGTCCTTCCTGAGCCTCGGTCCCATAGATCAAACAGCAATTGCGATTGCCCTGGATGGTTGCTGAGACCAGTTCCATTTCTAGGACCCTCTGATAATTCTCATTTTCGGAAGATTTATTTGCACAGACATGTTAATCCAGCTCCTACCGGGGTTCACCAAGCATGACCGCTCCTGGCTCCTCTTGTCTTACCTGTGTGGTCGGTGACTTGCTGAAAGTTTTCATCTGCAGAGACACTGTAAAGAAACAAAAGTATTGTGAATCAAACAGTGTGTGTAAATGAGTTACACTAAACTGCCTTTTAATTAAATAGATGAGAGTAAATGCAGAGTTAGGCTCTAAGAGGAGAGGACTTTTGGAAACCAATGAGAAGCCAGGGGTTAGTCTTCTGTTAGATAGTATTCTGTCTTATATTTTTAAACTGATACATAACTTTTGCAATAGAATAATCTGTTAAGTACTCAGCAAGGTTACCCCCAATTTAAAAAAATGATTTTATTTGTTTTTTTTTAGATTGAGAGAGAAAGGGAGAAACATCGATCAGCCGGCTGCCTGCCCGGGAATCGAACTGGCGACCTCTCGGTGCATGAACACCACTCAACCAACCCCGCTGCGACAGCCAGGGCCGCCCACATTGTTTTCATGGACCTTGTGAGAGAAACGTACAAGGGCACAGAGGGACACTTACAAGAACCCCGAGTCCAGCCACTGCTGAATACTTTCTTGTTTGGAACTTTCTACAAACGAGAAAGAAACAGAACAGTCAGTCAACGCACAACCAGCCCAAACGACTCTATTCATTCCTCAGCGCCACCCAAGAGCTCCATTTCCCACATATTTCGTTACATGTTTCCATAAGCATATTCGTGTTTTCTGTAATCAGCCTTTCCTGAAAATGAAGTATGAACTTGCCAAAAGACTAACTTCAAAAAAGAGAAAACATTAAGGGAAAGGAAAAGAAACCACCGAAGAGCAAGAGATGTTAGAATAATTCTGTAATTACCTGGCGTGAATGCCAAGGGGGGCGAGGACCCGAGACTTTCGTCTCTCTCCTGTTGGATGGAAATGGCCCTGGAGCCCCTCCTGATGGAATCACGACATTTACCTAAGGCAGCCAGCCAGGGATGTTTATTTGCAAGGAGTTCTCTGCCAGGTTAGAAACCAAATTTGCATCCATTCCAGGGAAAAATTGCTCTAGACTCCCAGGATTGCCAAAGGCACCCTGCGTAAAGGAGGCACCAGTCTTTTAAGGTGGATCTTTATCGGGGCGCAACAAAGAGTCGCCAGGCACAAAGGCGGGGACATAGAGGCAGCCTTTCCTGTTAGTGGCTACAGGCTCCTCGGGACTGACTTTCTTTGACTTTAAACTACCCAGCAGTGAGGTAGCCGAGTTACCCCCTCGCAAGGTGTCTGGTGAACCAAAAAGGCCAGAGGGCATGGGGGTGTTAATTCTTCAGTTGAGCTACTGCGAAGGGATAGCACGAACTGGGTGGGGGAAAACCAAGGAAAGCCATCCAAAGGCTCCACCGTGGGGGAGGGAGAAGCCTTCCTTAGTTATTACTCCTAAAGCTATTACATGATTATTGACGCCTCATGGAAGACCCAGCAAATAAAAGCCTTTCAACCAAATGAAGCCTTATGTCCCTGACATAGACTCCACACAGCTTTGGAGTCCTGGGGGGCTTAGGATGGGGTACATTGGAGTGGCCAAGAAGCAGAGTTCGTTCTTTAGTTGGTCTGTTTCCATCAAGAAGGTCTGTGCTTTGAGTGTCCGTAGGGGACGTCAGAAGTGCCCATTTCATGGGAGTTTCTGACATCAGGCCAGGAACACTGGTACATCAAAGCCAAGTCCATGTTCTAAAATTATTTGCCCCCAGCCAAGAGCCCCCACATCCCTCACCACCCACAGTAAGATGGTTTCCGGCAGCCCCGAGGGCCCGTTCTCACCCAGCGTGGGGGTGGTGAGGCTCTGGCTTTCCACCTCAGAGCCAGGAGGCAGCTGCTCATCCAGGGGAACCCATGCACTCTTGGTGGACCTCAGGATGCCTCTCCTGCTCCTTTCCTGGCCTCCTTGAGGGCTGTCAAATTCATGGGACTTCTCCATCATCATCAGTCGGCACACTAATTTCAAACAAATGCAAATCAGACACAGTGAGTCAGCTTTTGGGTTTGGCTCCGGGGGAGGGCAAAAGCCAGGATGCTCACAGTCCAACGAGTGGATCCAGGTTCTGGAGGCCGGGGATGCGGTCAGTGAGAAGTTGGACTAGTGGATACACCCAGCCAAGGAGAAAGCTTAAAAGCACTGATTAACATAATAGGTAGCCTTCAAATTTATCCAACAGTTACATCTATAAAATTATTTTTAAAGACCCAAAATATAAAAAATAAAGGCTTTGGCAACAGAACAGCCTGGCCGAGTCTTGCCTCTGCAACTCATTGTGTGGCCTTGTATTACTGTTATAACCTCTCTTCATTTTCTTATTGTTTGATAGGGGATAAATTGTACTGAGTTTTAATAACTGTTAACCTCAGTGTAGTACTTATTTTGGAAATTCTATATATCAGTTATTCAATCTAATTGTCCATGAAGGAAGTAATTTAATTGTCACAATTTTACAGTAAATTGAAGAGCAGAAGGCTTAAGTTGCAAACCCAAAGTCACACAGGCACCAGGATTCAAACCCAGGCCCTGAACTCCCAGCATATCTCATGACTATGAAGCTGTACTGTCTACCCTATAGGGTGTTTGGGACAACTAGAATATTGATAAATATATTTAGGCACATGGCACAAGAAATATAGGCTGTCCCAATGATCTCATTTGACATTTGTTAATGTCCTTATGGGGCTGAAACAGTAAGAGAAGGAGACAGACGCTTGGCGCAGCTGTGGAAATTGTTTAAACTCCTCAGGCTGTCAGCAAGTTGAGAACAACAGCCTCCCTATTACTCTCTGGTGTGTCTCTAGCACAGGCTGAATCCTCAGCACATAGTAGGTCCTAAATAAGCATGTACAAAATCAAACAGCAAAGCGAGGGTTGAAAACCACTTTCTGCTAAATTCTTTCCACGCCTTCTACTTGAATTTGCATTAGTTTATTGTTTAAGCTTAGAGATGACCAAGTAGTCAGATGCCNAAAATCAAACAGCAAAGCGAGTGTTGAAAACCACTCTTTCTGACTAAATTCTTTCCATGCCATCTACTTGAACTTGCATTAGTTTATTGTTTAAGCTTAGAGATGACCAAGTAGTCAGATGCCCACTATAGGAGCATGCCTTGCATCCCTGAACTTAGGCCTAATCTCTGATCACGTGACACGCAGGCCCCCATTTCTCATCAGCGTTTCAACAAGGCTCGCCATTCAGATTCATTGTAAACCTCTGAATATTCTAAGCATAGGTGAGCATTCTAGGTGCAGCTGGCACCAAGAGTCTCCTTTAATAGCTTTAGCTATTAAAATCCTATCATTCATTGGATGCATAAATATACAGTTATTGTCGCAATAGTACATTACTGCAAACATTAATGACAATTGCGATGACTATTAGTTTTAGGAAAAAGCAGCAATTACTAGGAAATTTCAATTAGTTAAAAACTTGGGCAAAAGGTGGACAGTAACTATCTATATTAACAGTGAGCATTTTAGCCAGTAAACTTCAGAAAGTTAACCAGTAATATCCGCTGGGAGAAGACAAATGTTTATATAAATTTCAATGATCATACAAGACAAAATTAATACAGATTAGATTATATTTCTAGCCTTTATAGAATTGCTTGGTAGTCGAGGTTTCATAACAGGAGACAAAAAACAACCTTTAGAAACTGCATTTAATTTTAGTTATTTAATTTTGCATAAGCTTTGGGTATTTGGAGTAAAAAAAGTTTTCCTTGGCAATATTTTGTATCTTGAGCATGCAAATTGCAATCAGGGCATCGACTCCGACAGTGCAAAATGTCACCAGCAGGGAAAACTCCAGAATCATGCTAACAACATTCATGAAATATCAGATTCAGTAGAGGAGCAGGGTTTGAGTAAAGAAATAATGTATCATGGAAAAAAAAAATCCGCAGAATAATCTTGACCTTGGCTGAAAGTGAGGTCCGACCTAGCAGAACAGATCTTGCTCTGCAACAGGAGCAGGAGCTGTCAGCAGCCAACAGTCCTCCAAGTGCTGCTTCTGGACTATCATGTCGAATTGTAACTTAGTGCCACTTTTTCAAATATAACACTAAAAATCATCAACGTTTTAGATACAGTGCAGCTTTACTGGTTCGTCTTCAGACTCCTGTTCTATAGCTGCGGCTTTGATCTTAGCCATTGGCCTTGCACGCCCAGGGGGACAGCTCCCTGCCTGCTCAGTTGTACTTGGCTTTAGAGCAGAAAATAGCCTTTGGGGAAAGTGGGAAAGGCAAGGGTCAGGGGCCAGTTTGTAAAAAAAAACAAATTCTTTTGTCCCCTCTGTCTCAGGCAATGCCTTCCCTGTTAGCAAACAAGTCTGCTTCTGGAAAAGGAGTTTCCGATGCCTNCCCCCACAAACTCTTTTGTCCCCTCTGTCTCAGGCAATTCCTTCCCAGTTAGCAAACAAGGCTGCTTCTGGAAATGGAGTTTCCGATGCCTGAATGACCTTCCTTTGGCTTCCACTGGCTTGGGCCCCAGGACTGCCCTTTGGAAAGGGACTTGGATCAGGTGGCAGCCCTGACTTGCCTGGCGGACTGACAGGGCAGGAGTTACGGCACCTGGCCTCTGGGGGTCCCTCTAGTGACCTGCTGTCCTCAGGACATCTGGAACCAATTCTTGCCAATGTGAATCTTCATCCTGGACCACCTTGGCCCCTGTGGGGCCCCTTCTCTCTCTTCAGATTATTTCCATTCCGATCACTGTGTCACATAATCCTTATGTGTATAGAGAACGCCCATCAATGGGGGGAATTTCTTATCACGTTTAATTTTACAAAAGAAGATGCAAAACAATATATGCACCAAGAACTCAAATTTGTAAAAAACAAAACAAAAAAAGCAATGTATTGAAAAGACGAAAAGGAAATGTGTTAAAATGTTATCAAGCTTTTCAAAATTTTAAAAATCATCAAAACGAGGGAAAAAGACTTTGTCACAATCTTACATCACATATTCTCTCACTTGGGCAAACTGAACCGTCCGCGCTCCTTTCCACTGGGAAGCCCAGTGATCTGAGGCTTTGATTCTTAGGGCAGTGACCACGGTTACCCTCCTGTGCCCCGGGGAGACTTTCTGCACCTCTCTGCAAACAGGCCGCCAACCCAGTTGTTCATACTGGAAAACGGGCTGTGCTCGCTTTATTTACCTCTGTTCCCCGCAGGGCCCCCTCAGCACTTTGTCCAGGTGAGCCACCTGTAACCGTTGACCGCCTGGTTACTGGGGACAGACGCATCCAGCTGTCGTAGCCAGTGTTCTTGGTTTTTATGTGGTTAAAACAGCAAGTGCTTTCAGGTCAGACAATTCCAGATTTTATTCTCAGCTCTGCCGCTTCCCTGACATCTCCTTGGGGGAAACTGTCAAACAGCTCTGATCATCTATTTCTTCATCTATGAAATAACCATCCCATAGGGTTTGGGGGAAAATTAATGGAAAATGTAAGCTAAAGAATCAATACCCGTATTGGTCAGTTTTTATTTCCCCGTTCCCTCTCTTCTCTGTGTTGCCTCTTGTCATTGTGATGTCAAGAACTGTCAAGTGAAGGAGAAGGGTCACCAATGAATGCAATCGTCTTTCTCACGGGAGATAAATTTGACACTCACAGTGTGTGGATAACCTGTGTAGAGCTTGAGATTACTTACTTTAGAGTGTCAAGAAGCTGATATATTTGGGAAGTGTGATAATACAATATTTCTGTGACCCGAGAATACAGATTTCCCTGAGACTATTAGAGGCTCACGGCAAAGTCTGGAAATTCTTTCAACTGTGGATTAAATTTCATGGTTATAATGACAGGCTGAAGCTCTAGCCTTGGCACCCCTTCTGAAGGAGCCGTGTGGCCAAGAAGGAAACAGCACAATGGAACACCAGCCCCACGACATTCTGAGTGCACAGGGGTCTCAGCACCTCTATGCCCCCGCCATGGATCCTCAGGACCACAGCTTCGGCTCAGGCCTCCACGGGATCTCCCGCGGTGTCCCTGCCGCCCATTCTCTTTATAACCCACTCAGACCAGTATGCTAACGAGCAACTATCCGTTCTTATCATTCTAGACTTTTCGGCAGCATTTGATAGAGTTGGCCACTTTCTCTTAAAGGAAAATTTTCACTTGTTTTCTGATACCACACTCATCCAGATTTCCTCCCAGCTCATGCAAAGATTTTTCCTGGGGCTCTTTTCCTGGTTTTTGCCTCTCTAACCTCTAAATTCGGAGTGTTCTCTGCCTAATCCTCAGCTCCCTCTTATCTCCATCTACACGCTCTCCTTAAATGAGTGCGGCTTTCATTTCTACCTCCACTTTGAAGCAAGGTTTTCTGAGAGGTCACTTGATGCCCACTTCTGCCATGTCAACCAAAACTCTCTGAGTAAATACCTTCTTTTATCTTCTCTTATGTGCCTTCCAACCACTAATAAGCTCACAGAGATCTTCATTCACTACCAGGGATGAAAAGGGTTTTTTTATTTTCATTAATCAACAAATAGTTCATTGGTTGCATGACATTGAGTATGTAGTTTCAAGTTGTCTTGAAATGTCATTTCCTCTTGCATTACATGAGGAAATTCTGAGATAACTCCATAAATTGGTTATTCTATTCTACCCTCCACAGAGACTGTTTAATATTTGACCGATGGAGCTCACATTTTAAAAATATTTTAAAGCTATGCTCGTCAAAACTCTAAAAGCGAGCAGAATAAAACACTGTTCCTGTGACTCATGGATCTGGAAGATCAGTCAGAAACTCAAGCAGCAAAGCCACGCCAGGAACGCCTGTCTGCTCTTCCCCCCGCGCAGGCATCCGAGTCCCACGGACACTTGCGAAGGTTTCCAAGTGATTCAGAGAAGCAGAGGCAGGCCCCGGGCAGAGCGTGTTCTGTCAACACTCTGCCGGGGGAACGAGCGGCCTGTGCTGACTCGAGCCGCGGGTGGCTCCCGCCC